ATGGAAACATTGAGATCCATACTTGAGTTGGATCGAATGAATTATCCAGACGGTACAGCTGCGTCAGCTGAGCATAATGATAGCCAGTACTACTCTACTTTAAAACATAGTGCTATATCTTTTCTCTTCTCTCCTGTGTGTCAGGACATGTGGTTGTGCTGCTGGTGAAGAGATGTAGACCAGCAAAAAATGATGATAAATTACATGACCAAAAAGCAGCACGTTTCTTTTCGAACTGTCGATAATAACACCATCGGTGATCAAAGTGATGAGCTCAAAGTCTATCTTAAATTTCAAAAGAAGACACAAACGTTGGAAGAGCATCCATGGAGCATCTTGAGTGTTTGTGACTTATTTTGATCATGTTGATTATTTCAATTCACAAGGTACACACGTCTCAATTTTACATACCTTTGTGCATTCTCACATCTTTCTTACGCTTCCATGAAGTGGTTTCGGTCTCGGTCGGAGGGATTTTCGACACTTATTGACTTGGAAGGCTTTCTGACATAAGCCTTCCTAAACTTAGTTACAATAGCAGTATATTTTGTAACGGAAATTGCCCGTCGGTGTACGAACAACGGCGGAACTTCAAAAAGGAGGGGACGAGGTACACGCGGGCATGCTTGCCGCATGTCAACACAAAAATCAATTTAAATATCAGGCATAGTGTGACGGGGTTCCACAGACCCTTGCATGAAAGGGTAGATCGCACAAATTTGTTGGACCGGACATAGTTCACGGACCCTTGTATGAAAGGGCGGGTCGCACAAAATTGTGGGACCGTACATGGGTGTGCATTACACAGTTAGTGTAAAAACACAGTGGTGTGGCTACACCGTAACAAGCAAGCCAGAGCAAGAATCTGGTAATCAAGTTATGAGATGTCAATCGACAATAAACAGCGATGGGGACTCCACAAAATTGGAGGATTGCCAGGAACGGAGTTCTTTTACCTTGGCTAAGGTTTTAAGTACTTTTGGAGGCAGCGGATTGCGATCCGCTGCACTCGTACTGGTTCTTGGTAAGAACGTATGGACGGTGACCTAGTAAGCTTCTTCTAAGCAAAGAGCTACGGCACCCCCGCTGCTTTTGGTAGCACTTTTTGTCTATCTACGCCTGAGTCGTTATGATTAATTCTCTTTGAGGATGGAGAAATTCTCCTATTTGCTCTAGGACATGCAGGAAGGGCTTAATAAGCTGATGTCCCTGCTGGGTTCTGAGGGCGTGGAGCACCCATGAGCGCGCGTTTAGAGGCGGTTTTTAGTTATAAAAGCATCTGTTAAAGCACTTACAGCAGGAGCTGTCAGTGTCATCTGTGTCTATGACGCCACCGTCGACAACGGATGATCCCCTCCGATCCAGGCCGCTTATGGTGAGCGTTAAAACCTTCGAGGGTAGGGATGACGAGAACCAAGTTGACTATGTCAACAGCCGACTATCTGCAGACCGATGGTCAGACTGAGCGCGTGAATTGCGTCGCCGAAGACGTTTTTTGCAGCGTCTGTGCTGATACATCGAAGCAGAGTCTGCGCTGAACAATACAGTGCATTCATCTACCGGTTATACGCCGTTCGACGTGAACGAGCTTATTAATCTTCGCGTTCCGCTGACGCCACCATCATATGTCTTAGGGCTTGGTGGAAGAGAAACAGCCGAACGGCTAGCTGATGTCAGCCCCCTTACCGTGCGTAAAGATGTCGGAGACCTCCTGTCCGCTAGACTGAGTGTCTTAGGACACGTTCGCGATGCGATGACTGAAAGCCGAGACATGCAGAAGGAAAATGCCTTCCTAGAAGGATGTGCACCCACCCGGTGTTATTATCTGGGCTTGCTCAGATAATAACAGCCGTATCAGGATCTGGCGCAAGTGAATGCGGAAGCGTTGGCGCCAGAGCGGCCCCCAAAGGCGCTTGGCCACCCAGAAGCTGAATCAGCAACCATTTCTGAGCACGGAGTGCAACAACTTTTGTTTTCAGCGGCGCAAGGACTCCACCGTCGCACAAACTGACGTATTCGCCTGCTCGACGGCTAGGAGCCGCTTCGACGGAGCGCGAAATCCTCACCGTGAGGCATGCACTAAGTGCTCCAGGCTCTCGAGGTCCTCCGCACAGCGGTAGACGACCTCGGAAAAATGCTCGGCAGAATGCCGATGACGACGAACTTTGTCCTCCAACGCTCGAGGAGCATCGCGAGTCATCGAACGGCGATCTACCGAGTCGTCATTGCCCGCCGCCGACTAATATTATGTGGAGTGGCGGGGACACCCAAACTCCGAGAACTGGCTGGAGATTGAGGTGCCACTTTGGCAAGACGGCCCGGACGTCGTAGGCGCTTATGATCAGAAGGAGTACGGCGATTCGCGTCGTGTTGTGCACCGCGCTCCTTGTCAATTAGCCTGGGAAGTTGGAGGGCCACAAGTTGAGCTCAAGCTACGGCTCTGAGCTGCTGTGGTCGTGTCGCATTTGTGTGAGAAAACACAGAGCTCGCAGGAGCGTTATGGATTGTTCCATATGTCGCGGGGCGACAATACGCAAGAAGTCGGCGTTGCGCCTTGAGTTTGGCAAACTCAAACCAAAGATGACGTTCTACGCGCACGTTCACTCTCTTGTGGCTCCACAATAATTAGACAGT